GTAGAGGGTCTTCTTTCTCGAGTTGGATATCTCGGCTGTTCTTCAGCTTGAGAACCCGGTTCATCAATTTCATCCCGAATCTCATCATCAACTCGGACCTCAGTGTCTTGGTCATCTTCAGCTTGTTGCTGATCATCATTTTCTTCATTTTCTTGATTTTCTCCCCCTGCTTTAGCTCGGACAAGAGGGATGGGTTCTTCATGTCTGACAGTAACCCGGACTTTGGGCTTCGAGATGTCATGAATGTTCTCATGCTCATGAAAGATCACATCTCGGCTTCTCACGATCTTCTTATTGATTGGATCCCAAAGTCGGAACCCGAACTCACATCTCGGCGAACCAAGATAAATGCATTCTTTAGTCTTTGCATCAAGTTTGGCCCTTTTATCTTTAGGGATATGCACGAAAGCTCGGCATCCAAACACTTTCAATTGATTATAGGCCGCTTTCCGACCTGTCCAGACTTCTTCTGGAATTTCTCCTTCAAGTGGCCGTGATGGTGAGAGGTTGATTAAATCAACAGAATTTTTGACGGCTTCTCCCCAGAATGATTTCGGCAATCCGACATTGGATAACATGCTTCAGACCTTCTCTTCAATAGTTCTATTCATCCTCTCAGCAAGTCCATTCAACTGTGGAGTCTTGGGGGGCGTCTTCTCAAGTCGAATCCCGGCCGCTCTGCATATGCATCAAATGGGCCGCAATACTCACCACCATTGTCAGATCAGACCACCTTCAATTTCTTGTCAGTCTCCCTTTCAACCATTGCATGGAATTCTTTAAAGGATTGGAGTACCTGGTCTTTAGTCTTCAACAAATATACCCACACTTTGCAGGAATGGTCATCAATAAATGAAACAAAGTACTGAGCTCCTCCAAGGGATCTTTCCGACATGGAGCAGACATCAGTATAGACGAGGTCAAGAATATACCTGCGTCGTCTAGGTTGATCCGGTCTCACAAAAGAAACCCGGTGCTGCTTTCCAGCTAGACAGTGCGTGCAACTCTCCAATGCTTGGCCTTTCAACCCGGTCAGTAATCCTTTCTTGTTCAGGATCTGTAGCCCTTTCTCGCTCATGTGGCCGAGACGCTTATGCCATAGCTCCAAGCTAGGTTCATCTCGAACAGAATTGGCTTTTTCGCCATTGATCTTTCCTTGCATCACGTACAAGGATCCTTCCTTCTTACCTCGGGCCACGACCAAGTTTCCCTTGGCCAGCTTCCATCTAACACTACCAAAGTAGTTCACTAACCCGACATCATCAAGTTTGCGTACCGAGATTAGGTTCAAACGCATGTCAGGTACATGCCTCACATCCTTCAACACAAGTCGGCATCCGACATCTGTGGTCAGAGTTACATCGCCGACACCAACAATCTTGCTGGTCACCTGATTTCCCATCTTTACAACTCCAAAATCACCACCTCGATAAGAGGAGAAAAAACCTTTGTGTGGAGTAACGTGGAAGGAGGCACCGGAGTCAACAATCCAGGTGCAGTCATCATATGCAACATTCAAATAATTATCCTCACCAAGGAGGAATATCTCGGCATCCGGGTTGGCAGCCACCGTAGTGGTGATCTTGTCTTCCCTCTTCTTGGGAATAATCTGATCCGGCTTCACAGAGCCGTTCTTCTCATTATTCTGTAGGGTCCAGCAGTCTGGCTTCTTATGGCCTGTCTTTCCACAGTAAAAGCACTTCAACTCATATTTCGGCTTTGACCGACCTCTGGACTTATCTCGTCTGTCACGACCTCTACCGCGACTCTTACTTCTACCACGGGAGTTGGATTTCCCTTTGTTCTCAGCAACGTTGGCCTCAGACGTACTCGAAGTACCTCGTTCTCTTCTCCTGGATTCTTCGCCCAGGAGGCTGTCTGTCACGACATCCATCTTCAATTTTCCATCTGGAGTCGAGTTATTCAGGGTCACCACCAGAGTATCCCAGCTTTCTGGCAGCGAGCTCAACAGCAGCAATGCCTGCAATTCTTCATCAATTTTTATATCAGCCTTTGGCAGCTGATTCACAATACCTTTGTAGGTGTTCAGGTGTTCAATCATGCTCATGCCGTCCTTGTATTCAAGCTTAACAAGTCGGCGAACCAAGTGTGCTTTGTTCCTGGGAGTCTTCTTCTGAATCATGGACTCTAATTTCGTCCACAACTCATACGCGTTCGTGAATTCAGACACGTGCTCAAAGAGGCTTTTATTAATATATTTCCTGATCGTGGCTACCGCCTTCCGACTCAGGATCTCCCACTCCTTATCTGTCTTGCCTGCTGGTCTCTCATCAAGGATAATGGGCTCATGCAAATCTTTGCAGTAAAGATGATCTTCCATCATCGGTCTCCAATATGTGAAATTGTCTGCGGTCAACTTGAACATATCTCCATCATGAGTTATGCCACTGGTCTCCATCTCGTCTCCCTCAGAACCCGTCGAACTCTGGCTCTGATACCACTATTGGGAAAACTCGGTTCCCTCAAGCTCGGCTAAGCAGCCTTTGTGCGGAAGTCAATCAACAAGATCCTGATCTCGGATCTCGGCAATACCTCGGCTTGAACTTCACCAGGTCAGGCAGCGCAGCGGAAAAATCAAAACGTAAACACAGGAGAGAGAGAAGAAGAACACAACCAGATTTAACGTGGGAAAACCTTCTCCAATGAAGAAGTAAAAAACCCATGGGACCTAGTCTAGATCAGAAATCCACTATGAAAATAATGGTTACAACTAATCAAATACACCAATGTGGTGGTTAACTCAACCTCTCCAACAATGGTGACAATCAAACTACCCTAGAGATGTTTCACTCAAACTCTCTCTAGAGATCTCTCAGATGCAAAGCATAAAGCTTTACTCAAACAATCAAATAATTTTTTTCTCAAATTTTGTTCTCTCAAATCTGACCTAGCCTCCACCCACAACTAATGAGTATATATAGAGGAGGTGGAAATTAGGGTTAGAGTTTTTAGGAAACCCCTCAAATGGGCCTGGGCTTAGCATTGAAGGAGGAAGCCCAACAATTGTTTCATGCTGCTAGGATAATTGAGTCATTATCCTTTAAGGATTCTTGGGTAGGTAGTTAGGATATAGATATATTCCATAACAATATTCAATAACTTTTGCATTGTACTATTGTGAGAAATTAAGATATTTAAGAGAAAAATGAAAGAAAGAAAAATCTGAAATTGATTCACATAGGAATTTACATAATAGTTCACATAATATTATTTCAGAAAACTTTTTCATTTGTAAGATATTTATTTCAAAAAATCAGAGAAATAAATTAAATGATAATTATAATATATAAGTTATGATATGAGTTACAGAAGGTTGAGATTTAATTTTTTTCCTAATAACTAAATATTTATGGTGTGAAGTAATTCATCATTTTAGTAAAAAATAGTTTCGCTCTAGTAATTTTTTTTAATGGTTATAAATATACTGTGATCATGTTTATAGTATTTGTTGGTTTAGTCACGTTTATAGTATTTGTTGGTTTAGTCACGTTTATAGTATTTGAACTACATGAAAACATGTCTTGCACGTGATATTTTATTGTTACAAATTTTTTTTCTTTCCTTTTTCCGTATATTAGTTATTGATTGAATATTTTTACTTATACTGTTCAAAATTGAACTGAATATTATTTAAATTTCAATTAAAGAGAACCATGATTTAACCCTTTTTCGTGGATTGTGATTTTCAAGAAAAAAAAAGTATTATTTTTTAGGTCTAATTTTTTTTAGTTGCTAAAATAATTTTGGGTAATCAAGAGGATTATGAGGTAAGGACCTGATACAAGCTTTATCAAGGACAATAGCAGTTATTACATGTTACCTATTAAGGGGGATTGTTGACGGCAACATCTCAAAACTATCAAGCAAAGACTTCAATCTTTACAAGTTAACTTCGATCTCATTAACAAATTACGTCTAAAATAATACAGTTTACGTTAACGGGCTTTGGCCTAATATTTACGCACACTAGTTTAATTTAAAAAGGAATAGAATTTTGTAACAATCAATTAGAGTTACTACCAATATTATTACCAATCAATTTCACCGATAGATCGATTATATTGATTCAACGGTTATATTTATTTTCATCTTTATATGATTAAATATGGAAAATCATAATCATACAAAGGTGGAAGTAAATATAAAGTATTAAATATGAGGAATCATAACCATACAAAGATGTAAATAAATATAACTGTTGGATCCACATAATCGATCAAACGGTGAAATTAATTGGTAGTAACATTGTTCGTAACTCTCCTAATTGGTTGTTACCATATCCTATGAAGACCTCCTAAACATTATGGAATACATATTTTGATGATGTCAAAGGGCTTACAAAAAGTCTCAAATTGAAGATGGAGTTTGAAGACACAAGTGATTAGGTATTTTTAGAAATTTTGTTACACGCTATATTATTTCATATATATAGTATCTCCCTAAGCTCCAATACATATCATTTCATATCATGCTAAGTTCTCAATAATTAATAATGATAAAACTAAATCATTAAAAATTAGTTTTAATAAATATATAGCTTTTTCAATTTGAAAGTTCAACATATGAATTTCCATTATATCACGTGGGTTCTGTTGAATAGATAAGTAATAAAAAGCTATATAAAAAGTAAACCATAATATAATAAAAACAAAGTAACTTTACCATAAAAATAAAATGCATGTACAAAAAAAAAATAGAACTTTTTTAGTCTGCCACTTATCTGGACGCTCTGCTAGGGCAAACTTGGTTTCACAGAAAACATGTCAACGACGGCTGATCATTCTCGCTCATCGGAGGAGGAAGATATTCTTCAAAGGAGCACCAAAAAAAGCAAGGGGGGAGATGGAGTTTTATGCAATGATCAGATTAGGGCTCCAAGAGATGAAGATTGGATGTCTAGAGATGCGTCATTCAAGGAAATTCTATTGCGTCATAATGGAGAATAGGAGGACGAGATTGACAGGGAGAATGAAGAAAAAATGAAGGAACAACCCGAAGAGCTTGACTCTGAAAATCTGAAGGACAAACCAGATGTTATGTGGGAGGGAGATCTGGACGGCAGGATGAATTTCAAATTGTCGGATGAATTTAAAAAAAGAACTTGGAAGACATGGAATAAAGCCATATTTGTGAAGTTATTTGGGAAGAAGGTATTTTTAATTTTTATGAAGAAACAATTGGAGAACACGTGGGCAAGAGAGGGTCAGATCTTTGTGACTGACTTAGAAAATGAGTACTTTCTAGTTCGATTTGAGAATAAAAAAGACATGGAGTTCGCTTTTACGGCAGGGTCATGGGTAATCTTTGACCACTGTCTAGCAATTAGATCTTGGGAACCAGATTTTCAACCATTTCAAGCTACGATCAATCGGGTCATGGCTTGGATTCGTCTTCCTGAATTTCCTATAGAGTATGTAAACACGGAGTTGGTTAAAAGTATTAGCAATTGGCTGGGGAAATTTGTAAAGATTGATGCGGCTACTACATTGCTTGCTAGAGGAAGGTTTGCGAGATTGTGTGTTGAGTTGGATCTTATGAAATCCCTTCAAGGGGAGTATAAAGTGGAAGGAAAAGTAAATATGGTGGAATATGAGGGATTACATCTCATTTGCTATGGATATGGAAAATATGGACATAGAATGGAGACATGCAACCTAGTTATTGATGAATTTTATCATTTGGAATACCAAAGGGGTTGCTAAGAGAGAGCTTGGTGGTGCTCTTAAGTATATGATTAAGAAGTACTCTGTTGATGTTGTTGTTCTGTTGGAACCTAGAACTAGTAGTGAAGTGTGCAGGAAATTGATGAAAAAATTGGGGTTTGATAATCTAGTAGTAGAAGAAGCTCAAGGGTTTGCTGGTGGGATATGGATTATTTGGCAATCAAAGAAAGTAGATGTGGTTTCAATTTCTCAATCTTCCCAATTCATCTATTGTATAATCAAATCTCTTACTGGTCAGTTTTTCGAATTTACTGTTGTTTATGCAAGTCCTACCCAAAATTTAAGAGGTAAGCTCTGGGTTGATTTGCATAATCTAAGTGATATCATAACTGGTCCTTGGATTTTAGGTAGAGACTTAAATGTAATTTCTTATTCTCATGAAAAAAAGGGGTGTAGCAGCTAACCCCTCTAAGTGTGCTAAATTTTCATTTTTTTCTTAATGATTGCCAGGTTGCTGATTTGGGGTGTGATGGCTGGCCTTTTACCTGGCAAGGCCCTAAATGGGCTAATATGGGCAGAATTTATATACGGGTTGATAGGGTGGTAGCCAACATCGAGTGGAGACGGTTGTTTGATGAAGTTAGAGTCTCATCTCTCCCTCAGTTGTTTTCTTATCATAACCCACTCCTAGTAAAGTTGTTTGAGGATCATAGAAATAACGGTAAGAAGCCTTTTCATTTTTTTGCTGCGTGGCAAGAACACTATTTATTTAAAGAATTCCTACAAGCAAATTGGGATTATAGTTTTGATTTACCGTACATGCTCCAAAGGTTGGTTCCAGATATCAGGGAGTGGAACAAACGAGTTTTTAGTAATATAGATAGGAGAAAAAGTTTCATTATGAAGAAAATTGGCAACATTCAGCAAAATAGAGGGCAAAATGATTATTCTTACTTGAAGAATTTGGAAGAAAAATGTCAAAATATGCTGGTAGAAGTGCTTCATGAGGAGGAGCTTTTTGAAAGTAAAATGGCCTTGAAGGCCGATGCATGTGAGAGGGAAAAATAAATTTTTTTTCTCAAGCGGAATCACACATGCAATCAAGATACATGCTCTAAGACAGCAAGATGTTACCTTTGTTTGTGATTCGAACTCCAAGTTGATCAATATCAGGTTTGAAGGGTTCAAACCCTCTAACGTTGATCCACACCACCCACGTCAAGATGCAAGAACTCTTTCTTGAAGAACCACCAATTGATCACCACAAAGAGGCTTGCTATGCGCTCAATAGGTGAAGGAGGAAGTAAGGTGAATGTGTTTAGAAGAGTGATATTTTCAGCAAGAAAACATCACAAAAGTGGCGCATAGATGGAGTAGAATTGGCTAGGTGTTTTCACAAGAGTGTGATGAGAGAGTCATGATGCAATCAGATTTTTCACTTAAAAACTGATTGAGGTGGCGCACAAAGAGGGAGAAAAAGATGGAGTTGTTGCAATTCAAAATTCCCAACAACCTACCTTTGAATCCTCATGAGACTAGGTCTTAACCTAGTCAAAATTCTAATCTAATGGCCATCATATGGCCAGCCATATGTGCACCCCCTTCAGCCCCAGAAACGGTCCAGATACGTTGAGCAGTTGCATTCAAATTTGAACCAACTCACTCACTGATTCTCTCAACCAACCAAATCTGATTGGAGCTTATTTGGTTGACTAGATGACACTTATAATCACATCAAAGCAGCGCCCCAAACAGCCCTTGGTGATCTCCAAAGATCTCCTCTTGATACAAGGGATTTGTTCCAACAAGATCTTATCTTATCCTTTTGTTATGAAACAACTTTTCATAGCCAATTCAAATTCAAATTCAAACGTTCAAACATTTAAATTCAAAATTCAAATTATAAATTGAAATTCTAAATTCAAAATTCAAATTTCAAATTTCAAAATTCAAATTCAAAATTCAAAATTCAAAATTCAAAATTCGAAATTCAAATTTCAAATTTCAATTCAAAATTCGAATTTCAAAATTCAAATTCAAAATTCAAATTTTAAATTCAAAATTCAAAATTTAAATATTTGATAATTAATTTAACTAATTAAATTAATTAGTAATGTCTTGGACCATCCAAGCCCATTACATGATCCATGCGCCCTTTTCCTTTTTAGGTGGGCTTCCAAACTTCTTCTTGGGCTAACAACTATTATTAGGCCCAATACCTTTAATGCTAGATCATCATGACAATAAGGTGTTAGTGTGTGACCCATTAGGTCCAACATAGCCATTGACATAAATGGGCTCGGGCCCAACAAGCCCACAACCCATTTAATGACAACACATAGCACTAGCAATGCTTTGTTGCCCCAGAACTAGTTAGATTAATGACTTGATCATCCTATTATACATATTTGGTTACCGTATATATTTCCTTTCGTCTCGGTTAAATTCCCATTAAACCTAGGGTAAGGAAATGTATCAACCCTTGCGGTTTAGGGTAAGCTTTATTCGAAATAGAAAATCTTCAATTTATTGACTCTAAAGGTAGATCGTCTTATAATCTCTTTTACTATGCATAGATTCCCGAGTCCCAGTAAATGTCATCTCGATTTCCCCGGTTTACAGATAACCTAATCTCTCACAGAGATTTGACGAATTCATTCAGCTTATCACCCTAGCCCTGTGCTCTTTCAGGACAAACCCAACAGTGTACCTATGAGTCTCCATGTTTCAGGCAGACAAGGTATACAATCAAAGCATGCATTCTAGAAAACACAGTCTAGGTAATAACTTCTGGTATAAGGAAAGACATACCCAAATATAAAGAGACTACTCTAATGATACTATCTGTAAGATTTCCTCATAGAGTCTCTTTGTGGGTCTGTTCAGTGCGAGCTATACCCTTATAGGTCCACCCACGACTTTAGCTAAGACATCTCCATATCTGTAGCACATGAGGTCTTTACCTTGTATCCAAATACAAGTAGATAAGTCGTGCTAATCTTACCCGAGATCACTGATCCCCATTCTCAGTGTCTCTAGACTAGGAACATAAAATTAGGAATAAACATGCGGTATCCTTGAATCCTCATGATCGTGATCTCATCACAGATACTCAAGAGATACATGTTCTATTCCAAGGGGTTTATCCAATTACTCATATAAAATATTAACAATAATATTGAGACAAAATATGAAACAGGATAAAACGTGTTTTTATTTATTTGCGACAATACAAAAGGTCCACATATGTCCTAATCTAATCAAATCTCTAGGACATCCATATACTAACACTTTTTTTGGATCCAGAAGTCCATGAAAAAATGGATAATGGATGGGGATAGAAACACAAGATTTTACCATCTCAGTGCGGTGGTAAGGAGAAATACCAACAAAATCTTTAGACTCAAGGATGATGGTGAAGCATGGGTGTCAGATCCTAATGAGCTTAAAACTACGTCGTGCAACTTTTTTAAAGTTTTATTTTCTGAAGATATCCATGAGAGAAGATGGATTTCGTCGGGGAACCCATGGCCAACTATTCCTCCGAGTAATCAGGTTTATCTAAGCAAGATTCCAAATGAAGTGGAAATAAAACAAGTAATTTTCAACATGGGAGGCTTCAAAGCTCCAGGTACTGATGGATTCCCTGCTATTTTTTATTAGAAAAATTGGGAGATGGTCAAAACACAACTCTGTTTACTGGTATATCAGATTTAGAACTATCCTGAACTTCTGGCATCTTTAAATTCTACACTTCTTGTATTGATTTCCAAAATCCAGATCCGTGTACATATCAGCCAATTCTGGCCGATTTCCATGTGTCATATGATCTATGTAAGAACCTGCACCGTTAATTACGGAATTTTAATTAATAAATTATGAGAAAATAGGAAATGATTCCATAATTGACCCTAATAATTATTATGAGGCTTTAATAATTATAGTAAGTGATTAGAATGTTGAAAGTCGCTTTTCGGAAGAAAAGTGCAGATACCGATTCTGCTAGTCGGTATAAATGCGTACCAAAAAAGTATCCCGGAAAATTATTATAAGTGCATGATAATTACTAGAATAATATGTAGGACTTGTAAATCGAGTTTCAAATCCAAATAATGAGAACTGGTGCTAGAAACCGGTACTGGCTTTGAAAAGCGCGTACCGGAAAGGTGCTCCGAAAATTATAAGAAAAATACGATAATTCTTGTAAAATTGAGTAGGTTAAGAATCTAGAGTTTGGGATTAAAATCCTAAGCGTAGCAATTAAAGCTAATACTGTGTGCTTATTGAGTTAGTGTCTATAAATACTATCTTTAAGGGCACAATGCCCTAGAAAACAGAATTCCCTACGTGAGAGGGTGGCTGACCAGCATTCTCACTTGCCTCCATTTCCTTCCTTCCTTCATTGCTTGAGCTTTGATGCTTATTCTTTCATGGAAACTTCTCCTAAACACTTGTGGTGAGTGAGAGTGATCTTTGGGAGTGTGTTGGTGGCATTTTTCTGAGTTGAGGGTGCTGACCTTGGTGTGTGGAGCTGCTGTTTTTGGTTGCTGGAGTTGGTGGAGCTTTTGCCTTGGCACTTGGTGCTCCAAGGAGTGATCTTTGGGTGCAAGAACCTACCTGTATCTCCATTTTCGTTTTGGGAACCAAGTCAGAACCTTTGGTGTTGGTAGTGAGCTCCAAGAGCATCCCTCTTTTTTGTTTGAAACTTGGGTGAGTGGTTGAACCCTTGAACTTGTGTTGTGATGCTTAAAAATGGAACCTTGATGCATGTAAAGGTTAAAAGATGATAACTTAATGTTGGGTAATGTCAAACACACCTAGAAATGCATGTTTAAGTGTTTAAAATCAGTAAAAACCTAACCTTGGAAGGATATCTTCACGAAATGCAGTTTCTGCATTCTGTCGTGAAATATCCGGATATCTGCCCGTGGAATATCCGGATATTGGATATCCGGATATGAGATATCCGGATATGAGGATCTGGATATCCGGATATTGATATCTAGATATCCACCTGAGGAATATCCGGATATTCAGGG